CTAACGCTAAGCTAACATTATTATCATGTAGCGCGCTGTCCTCATACACCCCCTCCACACACAGGCTGTCGGCCTGCTTAATTCAACTGATACGCGCAACCCCTGTCACTCAAGGGCTCCGCTCAATAATATGTGAAAGAACACCACTTACAGTACATTGAGTCACTTCTGGGGCATATCTGAACTATAAAGAAAGCTTAAGAAATGATAGCAGAGAATAAAATGCATTCATGCAAGCAAATCCATACACAAACCCCTCGAAGGGGCCGTGACACGTGAATTATACTGAGAGTATATTTATTTTTTTTTGCCTATGTCTGATACTTATTACGAATAGGAAAAACACATAAATATGTATGAATAAAAAAAGTATAGGCTAAATTCAATCATTATTGACATCCCTAGTTAAAATGCAAATGCATTGTTTTGCCCTTTGTATCTTTCAGTCAAATAAAAGACCATTTCAGTCGATTTTGTCATCTTCGATAGTAACTGATACAAGATCAGTGAAAACCGTAACAACAGTTGTGACTTGTGATTCACTGAGCATATGATAATGGACAGCACTCCATGCGAAATGTGATAATGTGCTGCACTTGTGAGCGTACAGTAAGTGCAAGAAGTGACAGGGATTCTGCAGGGACCGCGTGCGGGACTCTAGGTCACCAATGACGGGTCAGAAAATTAGAGCCAGTGACGTTAACAGCTGAGAAAAGCTCATTCTCCTGTTGCTTCCACCTGTTAACATCTCTTTCTCTCTTACTGTCACTTTCAATCTCTTTTACACTCTCTCTCACTCTGCACTCTCGCTGAAAACATGTAGAAGTCACACATACCAAGTATCCTTGACATTTACAACATGTGCCAGCATGTTTGCCACACTAACTGATGCAGTGTTCAAATATTTAGGCCTGAGTGACTGGTCTTTAAAATGATCCAAATGATCTTTATTCTGTAGTGTAGTGTAGATGGACTGTGCATTCTCAATTGTATATTTTTCATCTTATACCACATTGGACCGGGAGTATTGTGAAGATTTAAAGAAACATTCTGAAATAAAATTAAGTGGCGTACGACTATTGGATTTAATTATAAAAATATAAAAAATTTAAATAAAATTGTTATTGTTAATGATAAATTGTTTATTTAATTCATATTTAAAATGTAGTTGAATATAAGAAATAAAATACAGCAAAAATTAAGAATTCAAGAAGTTTGAAGTGCCAAATAAAAATAATGAAGTGGTTTCTGACTTTTATAACTAAAAAAAAATGTAAATAAATACTTTTTTTTCAATGGAAAACAAATAAAAAATATTTTAAATAGATTATTTAATTACATTTTAATTAAATAAATTAGGGATATATATATATATATATATATATATATATATATATATATATATACAAAATTAGTAAGAAACATTTAAAATTTCTAGTATAACAATAAATTTGGAAAAATAAAATTAATTTCAGAAATTTTACATGTTTCTTACTAATTTTGTATATATATATATATATATATATATATATATGAAGTCTCTGACTTTGAGATTAAATTGCTTTTATTCAAAAATAAACAATGAAAATAAACTATTTTTTCAATTGAAAAATAAATATACTTAAATTGTTATTTCAATTCCTGTTTAAAATACAGCAGAATTAGTTTTTAAAAAAAGCGTTTAGACATATGTGATGACATTTGATGCCTGATTTTATAAACTGAGGTTACATATCTTATCACAAGTAAATCATTCAACCCTGGTATTGTTGAATGTTTCTGTAAAAAAATATTGTTGGTTTAACTTAAAAAAATAAGTAACCTGGTTGCCTTAAAATTTTAAGTTCATTGAAATGGAAAAATCGAGTTAATAGAATGAAGGAGATTAATTTAATCATCAGAAACTCAAAATATTATGTTATCTGAACTACATCAATTATCTAAGTTGATTTGACAAAAGAAAAAATGTTGTGATTACAAATCATGAAAATATTCATCGCTCACTGTTTATCCTTTGCATTTTATGAATTCATATATGGAGCAAATAGCATGTGCTTTTCCTCAGTGTGCCCATGTGTTTATCCCTCTCAGTTTGCATGGACAAGAACTAAACTCTGTGCTCCTAATTTCAGCCTGGTGTAAATAAGCCCATTGATCTCTTATATTGACTGATGACTAATTTATGTGCCTCCATCCAGAGTATGTCTTGCAGCATGAGTTGCAATGTCCGGAGTTTACTTCATTTGGCTGCCATAGTAAAGCCTTTGCAGAAAGTCAACTGTCATGCAGTAGTTTCAGACCAACATCAGAACTGCAAACACTGTTGTCATAATGAATGCAGAGTTTGGTGATTTCCTTAATAAATCATCCATAAAATGGAATAATGTGGGTGCTGGAAAGGAGGTTAAATCTTGATCTCGTTTGCATGTGATGTCGAGTTCTACCTCCGATATCATTGGCTGAGTGATGTCATACCCGCACATATTCTACAAATATGATATTAAATAATCAAATGATGTGCATGTTTTGCATGTTCAGGTCAAGCTTGGAATTTCATTGGTTGGATATATTCTGCGTGTGATATCTGTGCAGTTATGCATGTATTCTGATAAGCCAATGTGGAATAGATGGAACACTTAGTTCAGTTTTCAGTGTTTTGAAGTTAAATCGATGAATGCATTGTTGTCAGAATTAATTGTTAATCTGAAATATATTGAAAATAAATCATAACAGTTCTGGAATTCCTGTTCCCTTTTGAATTAACTGGAGGCATTTTCATGGACCACAACGGATTTATGTTTATGACTGAGGGACTAATGGATGAAAGTGCTGAATATTTCAGATGAACAGTAAAACCGCATCAATTATGAATGGCTTGTTTTAAAATGACTTGAGATTACATAGGCCAACAATTGTGAGCTAATGAACATCAACAATATACTATAACTCGTAGATGCCCATAACAGTATTTCGGAAAATATAAGCTTCATTGAGTAGGCTGAACTTTATAATCTACTACGGGCTCAATGATGTATAGTGACTTCAACATTGTGGGAATCAAACATAAGAACAGCTCTTCGGCAGCCAAACACTAAGAGGTGCACTTTAAAATTTTGAATCATACCCTACAAAAGATTTTTTTAGGAATAAGATTTAGTGTTGGGGATTTAAATATATGTCAAATATGCAAGTTTGAGATGATTGAACAGTGTAATTTGGTGAATGCATTCTGGAATAGCATTTTTCTGGATGCAACGAAGACTGATAATGGCATGGGAAATTGTTAAATTTGGTTTGTTAATTAAGGATAAAAGGTATATCTAATCTGCTGTTTTTACAGAAATTTTATGTTCAATTTTGAAAATTCTTCCACAATTATCGGTTTTTAAAGAGGTAAAAATGAATGCACTTTATCTAATCAAAAAAATTGGGGCAACAGATTACAAGCAATATTATTAATTCAATTTAACAAATTAGAATTGAGTAATGATTATTCAAATTAATTTATTAAAAGTAAACCATTTAAAATGAGTCAAACTTACACAAAAAAAACTTACAATTAAGTCACCATTATTGTGATCGGTGTTTGATTTAGGTTTTCTTCAGTGATTCTGCTTGGGTGTCTTCAATGTTGGCAGTATAAAATAAAGAGTTCTTAATTAATCTTTGACGTCTGTCTTTTATTCAGATATTTTTTTTATAATTTTTTGGTGTAAACTTTACTCATTTTAAATGGTTAACATTTAAGGAACAATTTAATTTAATTAATTATTACTCAGTTCTTAATTCTAATTCAATTTAATAAATAATATTGTTTGTAATCTGTTGCCACAATTTTATTGATTAGATAAAGCATATTCATTTTTACAGTGAGGGATGAAAAGATCCAAAGCAATGCATTTGTACTCTTTATTGGAAGTCTTTGGTTTTACAATATAAAAAATCTTTTTTTTTTTTTTTTTTTTAAATGCCTCCCCTTCTTTTCTTTTATTTATTTATTTTTTTGTCTTGTGAGCCTATTGGTCCTCTCTCACTTGTTTTGAAACTCGTTGCCTGACACTTTAAATGGAGTCCATCTTTGCAATCTGGCACGGGAGTGAGAGAGAGCACACTGTCCCTTAAGTGAAGGAATAGAAGCACTTATAAGGTGAGATAACCTAACAAGCAACGTTTTTGAAAGTGCAATGGGTTTTATAGGAGCTTTATGGCCACACGATGAAGTAAAGTATTCTCATATTTTAATGGCAGCAAAAGCATCTGGAGATGAACAATTGTTTGTAAAAATGAAAATAAACCATATTTAAATGGGTTTCATATGAATTTTCAAACTGCTTAATCAGTGTCCTGTGATCTGTCTGACATATACTATTACTCATCTAAAACTATTTTGCACAAAATCTTTCTTATTATTCTAATTACTAAACATGTTGTTTTTATGACTTCATATTAATTAAGAGACATTGAAAGTGGCAAAAGGACCAGTAAGTGAAGGCAAAAGGTTTATTGTCACCAGCTACAATTTCTTATGCATAAGTTAATGTTGAATAAAACAAGTTTATGGACATGATGTAAGCCCACTAACCTTTGCTTATTTTTATGTATGTTATCCAGAGGACACTCGTCACTTTAAAAACAAATTAAAGCTGGAACTGTAAAACGTTTATGTACTATTCATAAAAAATAACACAAAGTACATAACTTAATAAAACGTCAGAGAGAGAGAGAGAGAGAGAGAGAGGGACATTTGAAATTATGACAACGAACTGTCGTTTTATTATAGCTAGTAGCTACTCTATAATATTTTTTATTATACACCTTTTTTATTGTACTATCTGTATAATTTATTCAATGAAATGTTTTCGTTGTATATTATGGCTAAAAACGACTCTTGCCATGCCATATATGTATAAATGAAAAGGAACTGACCCTACCCGTGACTTTGCTGATTGCATGGAAGTCTCGCGTTGTCTCGCGTTATGTTCTATCCACCCCCACCACCATCAGCCCCTCCCCTCCACTCTTTCCGTCGTCTGTATCTCCCTTCTTTCTCTCTCTGGAACACATGAGATTCTCCTCCCGAAACCTGAACCGCAGCAGCAGAGGCATCGACCCCCCTCCCCATACGCACACACAACATGGCTACAATCGTAACCTCGACCAGGTTTACGGACGAGTATCAGCTTTACGAAGAGCTGGGAAAGTAAGTGCGCGCAACATTGTAGCAGTGTGACGTCATCGGCGCAAGTTACTCTTGTTTGTTTCGTTCCATTCTTTTATTTGGATGTTGACAGCAGGGGAAATGACTTGCTAAGAGACTCGTAAACCTTTCTGAAAGCCACGCACAGGGGGGCTTGATCGGATCAAGACAGCACTACGGCACGGCACTCGGTTCTGGACTTGATCCGATCAAGCCCCCTGTGCGGATCTAAGCTTTAGGCGTTTTAAATGTCAGGTTAGAAGGGCTGTAGTGGTTTTGAGTAATGTATATGTACGCGTAGAATGTTGAATATAGCATGCACTGTGTTTTGTGTTCACGCCTTGTTTTATTTTAAGGGCTTGCTGATGGGCAGGAAGGTTTCCTCGTCACTTTGGGTATTTGGCTGCCACTTTTCATGCCATTAACATTGTGGATCCTGTTATGCTTGTAACCAGAGGTTTAATAATTTTGTTCTGAAGCTGCTTAAAATTATTGCAGAGAAGTGCACTATGTAGCGCACAAAACAATATGTAGCCTAGCTGTCATACACTTGGTATTACAAAAAAATATTGAATGTGTGGCACACACAGGCAGCTCATCACACTTAAATATCTTAGGAGGGGAGCGATAAAGAGGGATTATAAAATCAATAAATGAACAGTGACGCCTTTATGAGAATTCAATCTCACTTTTGGAAAGAGCATTACACCCTTCTAACATGCAGATGCGAAGTGCTCTTCACACCGCCCGTTTTTCCAGAGGCAAATGTCATAATTGTAGCAGTTAGATAGTGTTATGTTAAGGAATTTTTTTCACACACGAGCCAGTTTGCTAATTCATACTAATTATTTTTTCATACTTAAATGTTTTAACGAATCGCTATGTCCGAGTGACTCGTATCGAATCTTTTCAATGAATCGGTCGAACCGGTTCACAAAATTGGTCTGAATGATGACTGAATCGGTCCGAGCAGCACTCGAGTTACTATATGATTTTTAATATAATTAATTTCATGTAAATGTAAATCACATTTAGATTGTAAATATAAACGCATTACAATAAAAACCTTTATTTATAACAGGGATAGTTCACCCCCAAATTAAAATTCTGTCATCATTTACTCACCGCTCAAGTTATTCCCGCTGAACACAAAGGAATATATTATTGACATCCATTGACATCTTCCTTTGTGTTCAGCAGAACAAAGACATTTATACAGGTTTGGAACATCTTGAGAGCGGGTAAATTGTTAGTAAAATATCCCTTGAATAAACAGCAATATGTTTCACATAAAACATAACATATGCCACGCCGGGATCGATGCTGATACCGGTTCTTTAAAACAAAGTATCAGACTTCTCATCAATAAATTATAATGGAACTGCTGTTACGTCATCTGTGACTGACAGCTCTTCCTTGTTTGCAAGAGTCAGGTGCATCTTTAACTTTCAAGGGAAATCAAACTCTGTTCTTCTGTGTGTTTGCAGGGGTGCCTTCTCCGTGGTGCGGAGATGTGTGAAAAAATCCACTGGCCAGGAATATGCTGCTAAAATAATTAACACAAAGAAACTGTCAGCAAGAGGTAAGCTTTTGATTCAGCACTCTTCCAGTGTGTACAGTACAATGGGATAAAGGTGCTTTGTGTTTTATTTCGCTCGGCATTCACTGAGGGGAAGAGAAAAGACGTCGTCCTCGGAAGTTTTTCAAATCAAAATGGGAGTTTCGAGGCTTTTATTCCACGTCTGTTTATTTCAGGGCGCCTATTTCGTTGTGTACTCGTAAAAGTTGACATACAGTAATAAACTTTATTGCAGTTACTCATTTAAGTAATCTGGTAAAACAGACCAGAAATATTGCTGAATCATCCTGCATTCACAGGTGTACTATACAAAAAAAAATATGTGTGTCTTCTGTTGTGACCAGCACTAGACAAATATAGTGATAAGGCTGATTAATCATCTGTTATTATTTCACCAATTGTCAGTTCTGACAACCTGGATACAAGTGTTTTAGTGAATTTTGAGTAAAATATATATATATATTTTTTATTTGTGGTCATTGTATTATATATTTGACTCCATTTAATCAGCCACGTTGCTTGGTGAATAATGGTATTGTCTTTTAACAACCTAGTGGACTACTACTTCTAACTGCCAACTGAGTGTTATACTTATTATCATTTTATATATATATTTATATTATATTATAATATACAGTATATTTATATATTTATATTTTTTATATTATTTATATTATCATTCAGCCCTATATATTGTATTTGGTATTCGCCGCTTCCTGCTCGCGCTGTTCTGTGGTTTATTAAAAGTTTATTAATTCTGAACGTGTCGCGTCTCACCTGTCTTTCTATATTGCACCAAATACGACACTGCACTTCCTTGTAAAGTCGTTTGGATGAACGGTTCTCAAAATAATCAAAATGCAAACGGACAGACAGATATATAGAGATTCCGAAGCTTCGAATATTCGACGTTCATTACTACCAAAGCTTCGAAGCTCAAAAAATGGTATTCGGACCAGCCCTAATATATATATATATATATATATATATATATATATATATAGCTTTATTTCAGTTTTAGTAATTGTAGTACTTATTTGTTGTCACCAAGGGCAACATTTTTCATTTTCAAATAACTTAAGTTTAGTTATTTCATGCAATATTTATATTTTAATTTATATCAGCTTTATTTCTAATGCCAAAAATGGAAAAAATGTTTTAGTTAACACTGTTGAAATAACAAGCAGTAAATCAGAATTCATCACTGTGACGTGAACGAAAAGCTGTTGGCTATTCAAAAAAAAGGACAAGCCCATTGGCATGCATGTCCTATCCTAACTTCCTGTTTCAATAGGAAATAGTCAAAATGGAAAAGAAAACTGAGCTGTGTGTTGAACCCTGGCCTGTTGGGATGGTCGTAGTCCTTCAGATAGAGCTCAGTGTGCTCATGATTTTGTAGAGGTAAAGCATGCCGGAGAGTTTGCCTCTGTCCAGCCCTGTTTTTCTCAGAACTTGAAGAGACGCATGAGAATGCTTGCTGTGCCCTGCAGCACAAATCTGGCAAATGGTCCCACCTGCAGTTTTGCAATAACTTTTGTGAACCTTTTTGTGCAAGCATGTGTTTATCAGTACCATGTGGTGTCACAGAACTTACATGCTTTGTTGTGCAGCTCCTGAAGACGAAAGCTGCTTTTGATTAGAGAGAAAAAAAGAGAGATTGTGCTTAAAAAGGGGAAAAAAGGATATATATTTTTTGTATTTTCAGTCGAAGAATGGATTTTCCCAGGAACAGACAGATTTAAGGTGTGTTTCAAGGCTTGCGGTGGTTACTATAGGGTATATTCACTGTCATGTGTTCGTTTCTCTCATTTGAAAGTTCAGTTTCTGCCCTAAAAAACGGGAAAATGTGCAGTATTATGGGAATGTCAGAAATGCCTATAAGCTGAGTCATACACAAGAAAGATCCTGAGTCAATTCAGCTGATAGTAAACTTTTGTTTACCGTCGACTCGAGTAAAATGATGACTGTGTTAGAGCCAGGGTGAGGCTTTTCTTAGCCATTGATGATGAATCAACATGTTCAGTGATTAGAATTTTGTAATAAAATAACTATTTTTCTGCTTTAGCTGGTTGAGTTTGGGTCTGCTGCGTTAATTCTAATTGTACCTGCCTCGGCCGGTTGGAGAAGCTTGTTTGTCATAACGGCGGAAGGTTAGTAAGTGGAGTGTCTTGTGCAGTACGTCTTTCTGCCTTCCTCGATTTGCTGATTTGCAGTTTTCCATGAAGCTAATGTGAATTTAAGTGGAGAGCATGGACAGTGAGGGTCTTGTTTATGGCACAGCCGTTTTCTTTGTTGAGTGCTTGTCTCGAGCAACCGGCCAATTAAGTCTGGACCGTGCTCGGGTAGCAGAGGAGGAGGAGGGGCGTGACTGCTGATATGGAGATTCTGGAAGATGCCCAGGGAAAGGTGTGGTTCTTGTCATCGTGGTGCAACTCTATATTCAATTCATCCATGTCTCATTTGAGATGGATGACCAGTTTAATGTTCCCTCAACTTTCGCTGATGTGTGTGCATTTAATTCTAGTTCAATTTGAATAGATTTGTTCGCAAAGGGATGAGAATCTAATGATTCGATTTAATGCATTGATTCAGTTTACACTTAATGAAGTTTGTTCCTTAGTGATTCCATTAATGATTGCTTTGGCTTTTGAGGAAGTGCCAGCTAAGTAATTGATCCTTTAAAGCATTTACTACATTTGTTGTTATATATTTATAGACAAAAATTCCAAGTATACAATACTGTTTTTGAGCTCACTGTACTGTGAATGATTTCTAAAGGACGGTGACCGACTGGAAACTGGAATAAGTGCCTGCTGAAAATGCTTTGCCACCAAAGGAATAGATTGCATCAGTTATTTAAAATTGTAATAATATTTTACAATATTAGTGTTTTTGTTGTATTTTTGATCAAATGCATGCAGCTTTAGTGAGCATAAGATACTTTTTTCACAAGCATTAAAAATTTTCAGACTACACAATATCAGCCTGATCTACTTGTCGTTGGGTGTCGTGGCGACTGGTAAACGACAATGGCCGCCAGGACACAAGAATCAATAGTTTTATCTAGTGTGTCTCATAGTGGATGACAACAGACACAGTGTTTGTCAAGTCAAGTCAAGTCACATTTATTTATATAGCGCTTTTCACAATGCAGATTGTATCAAAGCAGCTTCACACTGATGATGTGTGATGTGTGTGTTTGTGACGCTTCACAATGTCACGACAGAAAGACAAGCATGTTTAATGTTTTTCCCGGCCCTCCACGATGGGTTTTGTCACATCGGTGATATTGACCAATAGGAGCACAGAAGCTCTTCTTCACAAAGCTTTCAAACATGAAGAGATGATAGTATTGATCACTCTAAACAGATCGCTCTAAATTGTAATGTAGACATGCACTCATCAACAATGAGTTCATCTGTGATCGACATGTTCTTTAAAAAAAAGAACTAAGAAAGGCCCCGTTTACACGAAGGGAAAACGCTGATATTTCCCTGCGGTTTGGCCTGTCATTTACACGAAAACCCCTTTTTTTATTACAGAAAACGATTATGAGAGGAGATTTCTGAAAACGCTGGTTATGTCGTGTCAACTGGGAGAAACGGGGTTTTAGGTTCTCTCTTGTCGTTTCTGAGGATTCTGATTGGCTTGCATGGTTTTTCTCCCTACACTGCCTCCAATAGGTTTGGCATGGTTATGATGGCGCTCAACGGCGTATTTATGCGGGTGTGTGCACAATGTTATTATTGAAAATGGAGGCGGGGGAAATACCCGGCTTTCTGTAAACGTGGCCTAAGAGTACAACTCTGCTTGTATGTTTGTTGTTGCATTCAACGGTTTGGACAAACTGATTGAGAGATTGCAAAGCAGTGTTATTTATTTAATGGCACCCTGTCTGTCCCTCTAATTCGAACTGTTAGCACACAACTACAACATTAAGCATCATTTAATTTACTGTGACACTGAAGGAAATAAGAGAATGCAGAACAGAAACAAACGTCATGAAAAAAAATAGTATTTTTTCAAAAATGTATCTTCATATTTTTGTACTCTCCTACACGATATGTTAAAGTTGTGTTGCTGTAATGCTTCACTCATTGGCTGTTTTGACCAAGAGCTTGTTACAGTAGCTAGGCAACCGCTTTGCTTGGGGTGTATTTGGTCGGCTGCCTCAAACGAGGAGCTCAAGACTTGTGTTGATGGTCTGAGTTGAGGATGAGAGCGAATGAGAAGGGACAAAAATCTCTCATAATCCCTTACTGCCTGGTGCCCTGACGCGCACCACACGTCTGCAGAGAAGCAACACGTCAGCCTGACAGGGGCTTAGAGTAGACGCGTCTCACTCCGCACACCTATTGCCCAGATACGTGAGACAACCTGACAGCTTTTCAAAAACTGGGTTTATATTGGTTAATTTTTTTATAGTGACCTCGGCACACAGAGACGCTGCGCCACATGCAGGAATCCCTCTCTTATTTGCCTAGATAAATATTTGTGTGATTAGCGCTCTGGCCGGGTCATATGACGACCTTATTAGCGGGTGGGGGAGGGTTTTCCGAGCCAAGGAAATGTATGCTGTAATGACAGCAGCTGTGTGCGTAATGCTTGCAGCTTGGCTTGTTCGGAAACACGAAGGTTGTATTGCTATAGAAATGGGAACAGAGGTCTGATAGACACGTGTACCCCCTCACAGGGGTGGAAATGCGCTCCTAAGGGTCTTCACTGACTCATCTATAAAGGGGCGGCGTCATAGTGCACAATTGTATACGGCCAAAAGATATCTGTTCATTTGAGAATTGGGAAAAAAGTTTGTTTTTTCTGCTTGGCTGTTATCTGGTTTTGTAATGTGTTCTATAATAATTAATAATATTAACAGTTATTATTATTATTTATGAAACAAAAATAAGTTCAAAAGCTTGGGGTCAGTAAGATACAATATTTATATATATATATATATTTTTTTTTGGAACAAAGTCTCTTTTGTTCACCAATGCTTTTATTTA